AAAATACATCGAAAGGAAAAAGGGATTATCATCAAATCACTAAGAGAGAGGATCAACAATAGGTAATCATCCCGATTCAAGTACACGGATGTCATTGGGTTATCACGGTTCTAGAACTAGAGACATGGTGATCCGCATATATGATGGGCCCAGTTCTTTAGCTGATTGTCTACAAAAAAAATAAAATTTTGGCCTGTAATCTCCTAAAATACTTACATAAGATCAACTTTTTGCATAAAAGAGGAAAAGATGTGCCTCAGGACTGAAAGCTTAGTCACGTTTATATCTCCGACGTCCCTCAACAAGCACGAAAATTGGGAGATTGTGGCGATTTTGCTTGTTGGTTTATGACAAAAATCATGGCTAGTGATGATATACATTATATTCATAGTTACTCTGCTTACGACCATAAGGTACTTAATAGAACATCTAGAATGTATCTTGCTAATGAGTTCTACAAATATCGTATTCGGTAATATATGAGGAAGTTGTGTATTGAGTATAAAGTTATACTTTTTATTAAATTTATTTGTAAATATAGGGGAAGATAGTAGGTCTAGTCACGAAGCAATAAATATAACATAATACAAAACTGAAACACACAACATGATCATAAAATACCTAATAAAAATTTGTCACATCGGTATTGAGTTGTCACGTCAGTATTGAGTTGTCACCTCAATAGTATTTGGTATATATACCTCCCATAGTATAAGAAAATTTTACACCAATCAAACTCTCTTTACCAAGTATCAAACTCCCTCTACAGACAAATAGCTGGAAATACGTCATCGTCAAACCCTCCGTATTCTCAAATAATGCCTACCCAGATGAAGTTATCCATTGAAAAATCCGAAGTTGAAATCAAAGATGGAGTTGACAAATGACGTAGTAACAAGACATTGCAGGATCAAATCCTCCAAGGGATCGAAAAGAAGAAGAAAGCAGTAAAGCAACTACAAAAAGAGAATCGAGCTGATAATGCTCGTGCCATTAAACTCGGTCAAACATTTGAAGTAATGCAGGACTTGGTTGATGAAAAAAAAATCTGGATTGCTTCGTGTAAACACTTTATCCAGAGGAGAATTAACGTATATGTTTAGTTTTGTTTTGCGTCGTATACTTATGTTGTTGTGTTCGAGCCGGGCTATTTAGTGATGGTTAATGTTTGTGTTTTGAAAGTCTACTTCACATATAATTTATAGAACTCAACATGCAAAATATCCAAAAAAACACATATGCAATGTAGTAATTTAATCATTAATAAAAAACATAAATGAAACATAGTCACTTACTAGGTTTATTTAAATCAAATTTGTGCGTAGTTGATTTTTTTCGACTACCTAATTCCCTCATATCTGCTCTCATAGCCTTTTCATTAGCTGGTAATATACTTGGACAATCGCGATGATTATGTCCTTTCTGACCGCATCTACTACATTGAATCTCATATATGACCTCTCCTTGGGAAGGAATGCATTCACGGGTACCTTGTCGATTTCCTCATTGTTTTATCCACAAGAGGTGGTTTCACGGTCATATATTCAGAAATACAAATGCCATAATCAGATGGTAGATCTTGGTATTAGTACGTTAGACGATTTTTATATGACTTATATGGAGTGTTGTACGACTGATATAGAGTTTCATACATCCGCTGGCATTGAAATGGGTGATATTGAGATTGGTATATTTCAAGTGATGTTTGAAACGGTTTATATTGAGTTTGGTACAAATGACATGGAGTGGTAGGAGTTGTCTCATCACTTTGAAACGAGTGGTATGGAATGAGTGGAAGTATGTTTTGGCTGTAACCCGACTCACATTGGTTTGGCACATATGGAAAGAGTGGAAGTATATACTAAGGGTGCTCGGCCCCATACACAATGGTGGGAACAATCTCTTGGTTTGAGTTCGATTGATTGTTTTCAACACCACGATTGCAAACATACAATCTTAGGGCTTGCGGCGAGATATCCACACTAATAGCCAAAAAATGTCTCGTATTATCGATGTCAAATAACTCGACAATCGAACCACTTGACAGAGATTTGTATATTAACTTAAAACGATTTTGAAAATCAGGTAAGTTTAATTTTCTAGCTAAATAATTGATCAAACCAGAAAATGTTATGTGTATCGGCAACAATACAACTTTTTGCGTTTCTGCAATATAATTTACCACGTCGTTGACTAACTACCATGATCCTCCACCAAAAACACGTACTATAATTTTCTCAATCACAGACATTGATCCTTGAGAATTTGGAGAAGATAATTTTTATTTTGTTTGTAAAAACTAGGGATGGCAACGGGGCGGGGATGGGGCGGGGTTTGCAATCCCCGGCCCCGGTTTATATACACAGTCCCCGGGCCCGGCCCCGGTACCCGGCGGGTATGGGGATTTTCTTTTCGGCACCGGTCAACTTTTGGTCAACCCCCGGTGAACACCCGGTAAGCAATAACTGTGGGCCTTAAGCATTAGCAAGGAAAAATTGCTTTTCCAAAACTCAGTTTTCAAGCAAAAGTCCAGATTTGCAGAAGAAACAGAATGATCACAAAGCAGAAATATGAAAAAGAAGGCCAGCCTAGTCATGAGTTTTGAAACACGAAGGAACACCATCCATGTAGTTAATCTAGAAGGAAGAGATTAACAACTGTTTAACAATGTAAACAAAGAATGGAAACAAAATTAAATAAGCCTAAATCTTAAAAAAATTATGAATGGAAACAAAATTAAACAAAATTATGACCTAACTAGTAATTATATAAGCCTATCTAAATCTTAAAAAAAACCTACTGACCTCAACTCTTGAAGAAGACAATGGTTGGTCGATTGATGAACGAGGCAACAAGCCACAGCCGACTGACCTCAACTCTCGAAGAACAAGGCAACTTCCAACAAGCCACAACCGACTGTGGTTGGGTCGATTGACGAGGATCAAGATGTCAAGGCTCAAGCCGTGGGTCAAGGGTCCGTGTGAGTCGAGTCAGCAACAAGGGGAAGGGGTCTCAAGGGCGAAGGACGTAGGCGAAGCCGAAGACGATGGCGTAACAGTAGAGTAGCCGCTGCCGACTGCCGCTGTGCTATTTGTGATCTATCGCCTGTCGCACCTGTAATGTGAAGTAGAGGTATCAGGTATGAGGATTGAGGATGAGGTATCGCTAGTCGTAACAGTAACACGTGAGTATGGACTATTGAGTTTGAGTAATGTCCAGTCCAAAAAGCCCAGACCCAAATAATTAAAGTCTGAAACTGTATGTATAACCAAAGCCCAAACTAGTAATTTTAGCATTTATCTATATACCAGGTACGGGGCGGGTCGGGGGATACAATACCCGGCCCCGGCCCCAACCCCGGTTTGCCTCTACCGGGGATCCCCGGCCCCGGTACCCGTTTTAGCGGGGAATCCCTGTCCCCGTCCGGGTCGGGTGAACCGGGTTCCCCACCGGTTCGGGCCAAATCACCATCCCTAGTAAAAACTGATTAGAACATATATATATATATATATATCATATCTTAGAAAAATCTGATATATAGTGGAGTTGAGGAGGAAAAAGACTAAATTTAATAGTGTTGTATTTGGAAGGAGCAAAAAATTAAAAAGAAAAAGAAAAAGAAAAATCATGGCAGGTGGGCCCCTCACGTACCGCACACGGGCCGGTGCGTAAGGGTGGTCAGCCTTGGGTCACTTCAAGGTCAGGCTGTCAAATCAATTTTTTTTTTTTGCAAATTGGTCCCGGTAAGCATCTGTTGGTGCTAAAAGAGTAAAACATGGTCAAATTTTAGAAGTTGTAAAAAATAGGGTTACAAATGTAAATTTTAAAGATTGTTGGATTATTTTGTAAGCATCCCCCGAACCAAGTACATGGTGATCAATGATCATCAAAGGTTAATATCTCTTTTATCGTACCAACTCAACTCATATGTGGAGTTGATGAACACCATGAATATATAGAGACAAAATTGCAAGAACCTTTAGTAGGGTGACCACGCTCTATACTCTTCTATTTAGGTAGTCATGATTAGCACAAGCTAGGGTTAAGGGTCAGTGTAGTGTTTAGGTTAAACGATTAGAATTGATTCATATCATTAATTGATCTAAACGCTTTGGGTTCCGGTGAGAAAGAAAATTACGGTAATTAGCGTAAGAATAGATCTTCACCCTTAGATGTGCATTAAGATAAGATGCACCGAGATGAATTCCCGTAAGAAGAACAATTCATGGGTGGACAAGAGATTAAAAATTATCAAGGTCAAATTTTCTTTTTACACTTCTCACATTAACTCTCATTCTTACATGATCTTTTCCCTACTGTTGTTAGGGCCGTTCTGGAAGGACGGATCGGGCACACGTCTAGGGCCCACAGGAAATAGGCTTTAAATTTTTAATATATAGTAGTAGTTAAAAATAATTTATCAAATAAAAGAATGACAACTTTTTTTAATATCTAATAGGACTCAAAAAAGAATTTAGTATTATATTCAGGCCCATACATGTATTAATTAGTTACATTGGATAAAAAAAGATATACAACTTATTACAACACCTTTAAAACAATGTATTATGACATTTAGACCATGTTGTCGTCCTATACATCCAATCTTCTTATAGTTGTTTATAATTATGATTTATTATTTTAGTTTTCTTATTACGTGCCACCACAAAATTGTTCTGGCATAGCATAATTTTTTTTACGGTTCTTAAAGGTGGCACTACTTTGTTTCATTGAATGCTATCGTGTGTGTACTACCACTTCAAATATTTTCTAGATTTGTCAGATTTTATTGATATAACGTAAAAAGTGATCAAGGGATCAAGCATCGGTAGGTACTAATGAAAATTTCTATCTGTACTTTTCCATCTTCAAATTTTTATTGACACGATAGAAACTTAGCGAAAGAGCTTTGATTTGCATAAAAACATTTTTCAGTATTGTTTTTCCAATGATATATGTTACGAAAAGTTTGAATTAGTTGAGAGAAATACCAATTAGTGATTTGTGCCTTATATATATATATATATATATATATATATCTTGGGTTCAGCGAGACAAAGCTATTTTTGTGAGACACGTGGGACAACATTTTTACATTTAAAACTTCATAACAAAACTATGTCCATGACACCTCACTCTTTGTCTTGCCTACCCCGTAAGCAATAGACAAAATTTGATTGTTTTCGTTCATGCCAACTGCCAAAAACTTGGTACCTAAGTAAGGATCTTTCAAATAAGCACTGTCTATTATAAACAGTGGTCGTAAGTGATTCACAAACGATCGAATATGTAAAAATTGAAAAAGAACAAACAAAATAAGTATATATAAAAATAGTGTGTGTCAAAATCAAAATCAAAATCCCTAAATCCTCATCCTTGAAGCGAAACATGATTTGTTCATCAACTACACTATGAAATGTCTAATTTAGTTATTTTACATGCTTTATCAACTAGTTTTGTAAAACATGATTTAATCATCAATCAACTTATCAGCTATCATCTAGTTTATTAGCTATCAGCTAGCTTATCAGTTAGTCTGCCAAACATAGCTTTACGTAAAGAGATGGGTTTCATATATTTTATATACTATAAAAATAATAATATTGGTGTATGTTTACTTCTAGAATGAAAGGACCAAAATTTTAGTTTATGAATGGTAGAGACGAAGGACAAAAATGTAATTGGGTCTTCATTATATATATGGTAAAGAGATTGAATTAAATAGTAGTCATGTTGCCATAGAGAGTGGGCAGGTTTTAGCATTATCCAGTCCTCGATCACTCATGGCTCGTTCTTGCAGCAACCACCAACAAGAAAACCAGCTGGTATTGGTTTAATTCAGATCTCTATATCTCCTGCTTCAATTGAATTTCTTTACAAACAGATCAAATCACTTGTTTTCTTTGCAAAATCTAGCATCTTTTTCAAGGATCTTGATGGATCTTGCTTTTATATATATATATATATATATATATATATATATATATATATATACTTGGGATCATATGAGACCGATGCTTTTTTTGCGAGACCCGTAAGACCAATTCTCAACCCTTAGATTAAATCTACAATCTCAACATTCATAATCACAAAATTGTCACGAGACTTTTCAGTAATTACAAAATTGTCACCGTGCAACTTTAGACCATTAGATCATTAGCTTATAAAGTTGATCAATGAACACAAACAAAAAACCCTTGGTCTCACCTGAACTCAACCCTATATATATATAGATACACACACACACATTTGGAATCACGTGAGACCATTCTGTTTTTGTAAGACCATTTTTTTACACTTGAAACTTCATAGCAAAACGATGCGAAGGTAACCTTCACAATGTTTTTGCTATAAAAGTTCGACTTTTTTTAGTTTCAAGTATAAAAAAGTGGTCTCATGGGTTTCACAAGAACAAGCTGGTATCACATGAACCCAACCCTATATAGGGTTGGGTTCACGTATATAGGGTTGGATTCACGTATATAGGGTTGGATTCACTTGAGACCAGTTTGTTTTTGTGAGACCCGTGAGACCATTTTTTTACACTTGAAACTTCACAGCAAAATGCTGTGAAGGTAACTTTCACTGTGTTTTTGTTGTGAAGATTCGGGTTTTTTTACCTTCACAGCGCTTTGCTGTGGAGTTTCATATGTAAAAAAGTGGTCTCACAGGTCTCACGAAAACAGTCTGGTCTCACGTGTGTGTATATATATATATATATATATATATATATATATATAAGAAGTTCAATTAAAAAGACTAAATATAATGAAAAAGTAATAAGGGAAAGTTCATATATAAATTATTGAAAAAAATTCCATTTAAAAATGCATATGTGAATTCTTGTGAATAATTTGTAATGTCAGTTCACATATCCATCTTTAAATAGTTTTTTAAGGATCTTTTGAATAATTTATATATGAACCTTTTCATAACTTTTATTTCTTCTCTTTTCACAATATTTAGCCTTCTTATTTGACCCTTCCTACATATAGGTGGAAGTTCAAACAAGAACACTTTTATTTTACGAAAACACGATAACACCCGTATCACATGTAATAATACACGTAAGGGATTTGATGGTGTGTAGACGACTTGACCCATGACCTAGGATGGACCAAAGGTCATCTACATCTTTGATCCTAGTATCATATGTGATGAATTATAGTATCACATAGAGAACACCCTTATCACATGTGATAATACACGTGAGAGCCTGATGGTATGCGGGCGACTTGGTCCCAACATAGGTCACGCCAAAGGTCGCTCGCGTCTCTGATTTACTATCACGTGTGTATCATATATGAAAGACTATAATATCACATGTGATTGACTATGGTAAAAATATATTCTCATGTTCTCGTAAATTAAACCTGATATGTATATGTATTTATGCTGAATAATTGATGAAAGTGCGAAAGTGATGCATTGTGACCGGTTGAGATATGTTGGTGAGTTACTCCGATTTACCAACAAAACTAGGTAAACTTTTATCAGGTAAAAGTTATAATTCTCATTTATATTACTGGATAAGATTTTCGGTCATCAAAATAGCATAATATAAGCGTTTTTTACTCAGTAAGCGTTAACCAGGTAAAAGTCACTTTCCTTGATTACCGATTAAGATTTCTGGTTAGCAAATTGTCACGGTAAGATTATTGGTAAAGATCATCACCTCTTACCGGGTAAGCGTCTCTTAAACGGTAAGAGATAATGAATGCTCGGTGGTGGGTTCTTTTTAATAGCAAAACATGATCATTTCATTCGTAAAACTAGGTTAACAATATTAGGTTACTCTTCGGAATAACTTGTGATTTTATGTAAGTTATTTTTTTCCCGTTAAAGTTAAAATACTTGTTTGGCTTGCTATAAACCGTGGGCAAGTTCGCGCCCACAAAAAAGGGGCTCGACTTAATTAATATGTTAGACCCTTTCAACAAAAAATGTCGGGATCACCTCGTGTCTAGTTTAAATCCGTAAATGGTTAAACCACCTCTAGATAAAATGTATTAAAACCGTAAATAATCACCTCTAGATAAAATGTATTAAAATATAACAAAATCTGACATAGTTTTATTTTTAATGGAACGGTAATGTTTTTTCTCATGATTACTTTGATTATTGGGGAAGTGATAACATGGTCGACATGGTTATCTAATGATTAAGACTCGATTATTATTTGTGTAATCGGACAGAGGCAATATTTAATAGTCAATCACACAAATATCACAACGATATCACAGTAGCTTCCTTACCAAAACCATGGAATCTTCCATTCTCGGTTGAAAAAGGAATTTGAAATTGATAATAATCAGAATATGATCGAATATGCAGATACATAAAACGATGAAAACGTAATCGACGTGTATAGATTCCAATCTAAAATCATGAGATCATTACAATTAATATAAAAATAATAAAAAAATACCTAATTACATTACTACCCTTACTTATTTATTTTTATATTATAATTTAAATTATTGATTAAAAAAAATTAGAGACTCACAAATATTCTCACATTTTCGCAAAACATCATAATTCTTATTTAAACTCATTCCATTTTAATAAATTGTGGGTTATCTAAATAAACATATCGGAATATTTATTCATCATTTTTATTATTATAATAACACATAGGGTCGTGCCTGAGGTTCGATTATACATTTTTCACCTTTAGGGACTGTTTATCAAATCTTTTATTAAGTCTTGTATAGATAAATTTGTCTGTCTGGATAAATGTGTATTGTTGTTTACTTTTATTTATAAGAACCAACAATCTGAATAATATAAATGACCGATTTACCCCCCAATATTAATTATTTGAACATCAAAACAAAAAATCATAAAGAGACCGAAGATGAGGTGTCTCATATGAGAAGGAGGTGGTGCTTTAAATAAAGGGTAGGGGTGTCATTTTTATGGTTGAATGGGGACAACACACCATTTCTATCTGTGCGATTAAACCATGTTCTGTGCAAATAAGTCGTAAGTAAACAACGCAAACGAACTGTGCGAATAAGTCAAATAGACCAATAAGCCTAATTAAACCGCAAGTAGACATCCCCTTAGATGTACAAATTACACATGCTTTATCTGAATATATTGTTTTAGGGTTTTACCTTTTTAGCATATCTGTTATTTTAATTTGTAAGACCTTTAATATAACACGTGACACGAAATTCTATATTTTATTTATTTATTATTGATCATATAATCTTGTTACATATATAACAAATTCTAAAAAAATTGGTTTCATGAAGAAATATAACCATGAAAAATTATGTGTAAATTAATTTATAAAAAAAATGTAGCATTTATTTATTTATTTATTTATTTGTTTGACAGGTAATTTGTGAAGAAATATGTGGTGGGATGAAAGTGATATTAAACAGACCCCAGAAATTGAATTCTCTAAACTACCAACTTGTATGTTTATGCTTTCTTCCATCTTTCATTATCACTCACTTTTTTAACAAAAATCAAGTAATTTATATCAATTTCTAAACTAGTTTTTGTATCATATATCACTATAACAAAATCGGGTTTATAGGACACTCCCAAACTCTAAGCATACTAATAGACCTCTTTATAGGACTTGGTTTATAAGATCAAAAAAATATAGTGTCCTATTTAAAGGTGTTGTAGTAAGTTTATATGACCTTTTTTTGACGTCGTAATAAGTTTTTTAGGACACTTTTAATATAAAACATCCTATTATCATCTTTATAGGACACTATTTGAAAAATTGTCTTATAAAAACAAGTGTCCTATAAAAAATTGAGTTTATAGGACGATTTCTCAAAAGTGTTCTATAAAGTTGCTAATACGACAATATGTATTAAAAATGTCCTCAAAAACTTGTTAAGACGATCAAAAGCGTCATATAAATTTATTACAACGCCTTTAGATAAGACGCTTTATATTTTGGTTCTATAAATTAAGTCTTATAAAGCGGTTTATTGGGACACTTAGAGATTGGGGGCGTCCTATAAACCCAAATTTTGTTGTAGTGTTTATAAAACAACAACATAATATGTGTTAATTATATAATGTTGTTTCATATGTGAAACTTTTAGAACTGGTTATTCCCATACTTAAAACAGTCCTAAGCATTTCACATGTGAAACAACCAAATATAAACACTGTATTTTTCATATGTGTTGTTTCATATATAAAACAACATATGAAAATTGGTTTGTAAGTTTGTACAAATTACTGACTTTATAAATGATTATGTGCTTTAGATTATAATCCCCATACATATCAACTCTTGTAAATCAGTAATTCTTTTTATAGATTTTACAGTTGTTAAAGATGTTTGAAGCATATGAGAAGGACCCAACAATCAGTTTCGTGATATTAAAGGTAAAAAGAGTCTAAGTTTTTAGATCATATTTGACACTGTAAATTAACTGTTAGAAAATAAACTAGTATGTTAGCTGAAAAACCAACTAGATTGTTAACCTTCACATTATTATTGCTTGATAGGGAAATGGAAGAGCGTTTTGTGCGGGTGGGGATGTTACGGCTCTGATGACACTCACAAATGCAGGCACTCGTTCTCTAAATCATGCTAAATCTAGACATCGATCGATAAATATATCATATCGGTTTATTGAAAAAATATACTATATTTTCTTTACTTTTATTTGTTTCTCCCTATACTTACTTTTTGATGACGACATATTTTATGTTCTTCACGGAAACAACCGTTTTATTCTCCGTGGTAAAGGCCATGTCTGCTGCTACAACAAAATCATGTTTATAGGATGACAAAAATATACAAAATTGGCTCTTTTGAGCGTCTCAACAAGTTTTTTAGTACATTTTTGAAAGAAATTATTTGGGTTTTTTAATGAGACAGTTTTGAGAAATGACATATCAACAGGTTTTTATAGAGCAATTGTTTTTATATGACATTTTTTCAACGTCGTCATATAAAAAATTAGTATGACATTTTATTTCAAAATTTATAAACTTATTGTTTACATTTGTACATTGGATGTACAGGTATTTGATCATATAAACTTAAGTCCTATAGAATGATTTATAATGAGTTGGTTTGGTTTGGTTTGGTTCGGTTGTTATATCATCATGCCCTATCGTGTTGGCAGGGCATTGGAGCGTTGGTGCAAACTTCTTTCAGAAGCAATATAGTCTAGACTACTTGCTCGGGACCTATAGGATTCCGTTGGTTAGTAACTCAACATTTCAGATATTTTTTACTGTTTGTTGATGAATTATGTTGGACCCCCATATCGATTAGACTTAACTTTTTTCCTCAATATATGATGAAACCTTCATTCTCTCCGGGCTTTTTTGAGAATAACAATCTCCTCATCCAAATTCCTATGTCCCATTTCTATTCATCAATCACATGAATGCATATCATCACACAGAGAGAATGTAAACATGATTTAAATAAATATATGTTTTTATTTTAACCTATTTGTCTACAAGTGATTGATGGGAAAGGAAGGGAACATACCACAAGGGTGGTGACTAATTGGTTTGAGCTTGGCTTCAAAGGTCAAATGTACCAGAAGGTCCCAGGTTCAAATTCAAGGAGGATTAAAAATCCCCTTGTGGCCACGGTGGTTCAAATGCGGTGACTCTGAGCTATCTGCAAAGCATGTGGTCGCTATGTAATTAGTCGGCTCGCATAGCGGGTTGGATATCCAGGTTAATAAAAAAAAAGGAAGGGAACATTGAAATTTGGGATATGAGATTTTTCTTATTCCTCTTTTGGAGAGTAATCTGATAGGTTTCACGTATTTTCACATGATATCATAGTCAAGGCTTAAAACTCTAGGGAGTTGACACCGTTTGTACCTGTCAAGCCCCCTCTTGACACTCTGGAACAATCTACGCACATCTAGCCTCCATTAGAGGAGGTGTATTTCAGTTCACATCGGCTAGGCTTTGACCATTTCTTCTTAATATATGAGAAATATCCTTTCTTTTTTAAGGGCTATTTTGTAATTTAACTAGGTTCCACATACTTACCATAATTTTTTGGGTGATACATATACACGATAGATCGCTATTATAAATGGAATCGTGATGGGGGGAGGAGCAGGATTATCGATGAATGCAACATTTAGAATCGTCACTGAGAATACATTATTTGCAATGCCGGAAGCATCAATAGGATGTATTCCGGATGTTGGTGCGTCTAATTTCCTATCGCGACTTCCTGGTTATTTCGGTAATTTCTTTCCTAAAATAGAAACTTAATTTATTTGATATGTAACTTTCGGTTCATTCATTTTAATAGTTTCTCAATGGAATTTGTAGGCGAATATGTAGCACTCACCCAAGTACGACTAAATGGGATTGAAATGGTTGAATGTGGTCTTGCAACTCACCTTGTACTCTCAAAGGTGATTGATTCATTTCCACAATCGATGTTTTTGGAGCACGTGAAACTGTTAGAATACGTTTAACTTTAGATTACTCTCTAAAAGAACAGTTGAGGATAGACGGGAAATGGTCCAAATATAGTCAGTAACAAATACTATAGTAAGTTTATTGTTAGAGTCTCACATCAGCTAGAATTAACAGAGGTTCACATATCATCTCACTTATGATTTGCGAATTCTGTAGCGAAATGAGTTACGCTTTTGATTCAATTATGAATTAATTATATGATTTGTTTAAATTATTGAAGGATTTAGCTTCAATGGAGAATGAACTTAGCATGATGGCTTCATCTGATGCAAGAAACATACCAACACTAATTTCTGAGATTATTGTCAAATATGCAAATTGGGAAAGAGAAAGCATTAAACTAGAGAATGTATATTCAAGGTAACTACTTTTTCTCCTTCACATTTATAACAACCCCAGCTAATCGTATTTGATATTGTTCGCTTTATTCATACATTGACTCATGGTTTAAATACGGGTCTAATAGAGGAGGTCAGTCCCTTATAAGGCAACATTTATTCCCCTTCGCAATCGATGTGGGATCTTAATATCCATCACAATCTCCACCATAACCAAAACCACCTCCACCACCACCACCACTACCATAAATTATATGAAAATTTTCATTCAAATTTGGTACCATTATATATATATATATATATATTCATTTATATGAAAATTGTGTAAAAATATATATTTATAAATTAAATTCTTTAATTATTTACTTTATTTGTGTTAACTATAACTATTATGTAATATTTTTAAAATAATCAAATAACTTTTAAGGGTAACTTGTCTAATTTTGTCCCGTCCAGTCCAGTCCAATCGTAGTTGTACCAAACACTACACATACATTTGTTTAACGTCCCCAATAAATTCTACTTGCAAAAATTATTTGAGCGGGTGCGCAGAACCTGTTGAGGCTTCATTTGCCTGTCGGGCATCACTATATATGTATATATATATATATGTGTGTGTGTATGTGTGTGCGCCCTTATATATCATATATGTACACAGACATGCAAGCTTACCATACATACAAATACATAGACACATGTATATACGTATAATTATATGTTGTATATGTCACTTTAATCTTTGGGTGATAGGCTGGATATTATCAACAAATGTTTTTCAAGAGAGACTGTAGAAGATATATTGTCATCACTGGTAAGTTCATTAAATACCCTCAATTACATTTTGTTTTAGTTATTTGTATAAAAAAACTTAGCAACATGTATATATGTAGAGGAAGGTTTAAATAAGAACATTAAGGTTATGTTTAGAAACTAACTGATAAACTAGCCGGTAGTTGATAAACTAACTGATGAACAAATTATGTATGACAACAATTAACTTATAAGCATGTAAAATAACCAAAAAGAACATTTTCAAACAATAATCAACTACAAATATTTTATAATATAATTAAAATAAATTTCTAATAATATAATATATTAAGTAATACAAACAAGGTATTAATGAAAAATTAAATAATATAATATGTTAATTGAAAGAATTTAAAATTTATTATTATAGATATACTATAAATTTTGAATTTGTTAATTTTAGAAAAACTCTACATTAACTTTTGAATTTAAATAACCATTATGTATAATATGAATAAAAAAATTGGTCATAGTCACATATCCTAATTTTTAAAATATAATTAATAATTAAAATAAATATTTTATTAAAATTATTTAGCATGTTTTAATTATTTATGAAATAAAATAACTATAACTTTAATTTTTATTTAATTTATATAAACATTTTTAGAATTGTTATATTTATTTTTCAATAACTAAACATATTAAATAAAAAAAATTGATATAAGTAATAACATTTATAAATAAATAATAATTATTTATTAATATATAATGTATAATTAAAAGTAATGAACATATTTTAAATAATTTTAAATACTGTAAATTGATATTTGTGAATAATCAATATTCATTTATAATTAATATCAATAATTAACAACTTATATCAATCAGGGTCAAAATTGAAAAAGGTAAACGTTCTTCATAAACTACTCAAAGTAGCTTATCAATAAACTAGTTTATATGCATCTAAACAATTACTCGAAAAATAAGTTAGCTTATGTTTGCTAAATAACGCTTAACTAAATAAAAGAACACGAAAATGAACAAATCATGTGCAATAATAGATGTGATTTTAAACTAATTGTCAACGCAATGGTGTGCGGACGACGTGGCCCGCAACCTCAGGTCTTGCCCAAAGGTACGTTAATCATATGTGATTTTATATGTAATATTTGTAATAATATCACATGTAATTCGATCGTTTTCTTATTCTTTTATTTTATTATTGTTCTCGTATAAACCTCTTTTATTTTGGTTTCATGTATGTAGGAGAATTTTGAGGCGTGTAGACATGAAAAATGGATTCCTGATGCAATAAAATCAATAAAATCGGCTTCTCCATTGTGTGTAAAACTCACGTTAAAACTGGTAAGTAAAACAAGTTAACAATATTATAATAAAAACTGGTTTATAAAATGTCAAAAATTTCTAAATGTCATAATAAATTATTTTATTGGATTATGTATATCGTTGCAATAAGTTTATATAACGTTTTTAGCATTTTAACAAGTTCTTATAATATTTTTAAATAAAATGTCATATTAATTATTCAATAAAACACTTCTGAGATGTGTTCTATGAACCTGCATATCATTTTATAGGACAATTGGTTTTATAACACAATTTTTCATATCATTTCATATAAAAGTATTAATGGGTCGTTTTATTTCAAAAGTGTTCTAACAAACTTGTTAAGACGTCCAAAAACGTCCTATAAACTTATTGCAATGTTTTTACATAGGATACACACTTAATCATATATACTTAAGTTCTGGAAAACAATTTACTATTTTACTTGGACAATTTTGGCATCCTATAAACTCGGTTTTATTGTATTGTAACTGTTTCAAGTATAAAAAACGTAAATGGTTTGAAATTCGCTCAAAGTGATTCTGTTTTTCTAAGTAGATTAGAGAAGGGCGATTGCAAAAACTTGACGAATGCCTTGCTCGTGAACATCTTGTTGTCAGTCATCTTCTACGAAGAACCGTGAATGATGATTTTTACGAGGTTTGTTATATGTTCGTTGTTTCTAAACTCTATATTTTTATAAGATCATTTCTAAAAGTTGGTTGGGTTTTTTTTACAATTTTTATTTGTTGTTATTATTATTATTATTTTTTTTTTAAACCGAGATGTATATATCCGTATGCAGGGTCCTAGAGCAGTGCTAATCGATAAAGATAAGAAACCGAAGGTAATATTTTACATCTTTGGTTTCTTTTCATTATTCGATTTTACATTCGATTATCATTCAATAAAGAGTTGACAAAAATTATGTCAAATGAGTTATATATGTATATGTATATGTATATGTATATGTATATGTATATGTATATAACTCTTTAGCGAGTACATGCAACTACGTTTTATTTATTGGATTAACTATAAAATGGATTAATTAACTGACAGTGGTCGCCGTCGAAACTAGCACTCGTGGATCAAGAAATGCTAAGCAAATGTTTCTCCATGATTGATGATGAAGATTGGCAGCCATTAAAACTACTTGCAAGAACAAACCCTAACCACGTTATATTGTCAAGAATCTAGCAGATTAAATTATATGTGACGTATCGTCATTATTTCTTATAGGTCATTGTAAATACGTCGATAAGTACGTTTTATGGTTCTATTGTTCATGTAATGTGTGAATCTGTTTCTTTTATTAAACTAAAGAGGTTTAATATCACTTTATCAGTTGTACGGTTATACCTACTAATTGTCATTCGTTTATCTTGTCATAATCATCTGAGATACGTACCATAACATTAGTTTATGTTTTATGAATTATTGGTTTACAAAAGAATAATAAAAATAATATTTGAAAAATATAAAATATACTTTTAACAAAACTTCACAAGTAAACTATAATGCATTGGTTTTGAACATGGTTCAACGTGAACATTATATCATCATCATCATCATCATCATCATCATCATCATCATGTATGAATGAATAAGCATAATGATATCTCCAACATTAAACCAAATATAAAGGTGTTATCTTAACCATAGGTGTTTAGACCATCTTGTGTGCACTCCGACTAATTCCAGGCCCCTAGAGAACAGCTAGAGAAAGCCTTAATATGCTTGCAGGACTTAAACCAGTGACCTCTGAAGAGAATTCCCAAAGGCTCCAGTCTTATTACGTTAAGCTGACCCCACAAAGTTAGTAGAAAAGGTGTTTCTAACCATAATGACGCTCTAGCATGATCATAACTCAATCAAGTACTATACGAAGGTGTTTTTTTTTTACCATATAACTAGTCTACATAATCATAACTCAATCAAGCATAGAGGTGATTCTTATCATGGTACATGGTCTACCAAAATCAACCTACCAAATATAAAGGTATTTATCACCATGTATAGAGGTTATGTGGTTCCACCAAGTATAAAAGTGCTTCTCACCATGCATATAAATTACATCATTATTAAGAGGGTGTTTGGGATTGCTTGTTTGAAACAACTTATACTTTTCTACAAAAGTGTTTATCAACTTATTATAAGTTAAAATGGTTCAAGTTCTTCAAAAACTTCTTATTACCAGTTTGACACCGGTATAAATTGTTTATCCAAATAATCAAAACTGTTTATTACCGGTGCCACACTGGAATAAGTTAATAAGTTGTTTTTATAAGCAATCTCAAACACCGTCTAAGTTTAAAAGTGCTTCACCACATATACCATCCACAAGTATCTAAAAGACAACGTTCGACTTGCAATAGTTATCATTTCTTGTTCGGTCAAATATTATTATATCTGAGATCACCGATTACGAAGATTATGTTGAAGAATGAAGGAGTCAAGGTGAAAGTCAACATGAGTAAAGAAAGTCCTAGTTACCAACATTAGTGAAGAATCAACTTCATAATTAGAGCTTAGTTGTAGTTTACTTTGTAGTTTGACTTTGTAATTAGTCAATCATATAAATAGCTCTGTAATGGTAATTGTAATCAGAAAAAAGATGTGTACGTTGAGAATCTAGCTTAGAGAGAAATTGTAGAGAGAGAAACATATATTGAGAGAGTTTATCAATATATATATATATATATATATATATGATGATTTGATCTTTAGATCATTGTTCTTGTTGTTTAATTCATTGTTATCTAATTGAAATTGAGTTTAACAATTGGTATCAGAGCTTAAACCGAAGAAATGTGCAAGAATTCATCAAATTTTTGAAAAGTTCTGAAGATTTTTGAATTTTCTTCAAGAACATGAAGAACATAAATGGGTTTGATTTGATTTGTTTATTTTTTTTTTTTTTTGTGTTTGAATTTGATTGCAAATCATTTCTTAATCATTTTCTATAAGTTTTGCATCATTTTCTTATCAAGAATCAAATAATTTGAAAGCAATTTGAAAAAATTCCAGTTTCTAATTTGTCATGTTGAAATTTTTTGATGAAGATTTTGTGGAATTATGATGTTTTGATGCGCTTTTGTGATAAGTTCTTCATAAAATGTGTTTCTAAACAGTTTTTCATCATTGATTTCAAGTTTTAAGATCAAAAATTGAGTTTCTAAAATTTTTGAGTTCTTGATGAGTTTTTGATAAATCTTGAATTTTAATTGATTTTAGTATTTGTGTTTGTGTCTTTGGGTAAGGGGTTGTTTACCAAAAAAATTATTAAGTCTTGCATGGATAAATTTGTCTGTCTGGATAAATGGGTGGTTTTGTTTACTTTTTTTATCTGAACCAACAGTCTGAATAACATAAATGACCGATTTACCCCTCAATATTAATTATTTGAACATCAAAACAAGAAATCATAAAAAGGTTGACGATGGGATGTCTTATTTGGGAAGGAGGCGATGATTTAAATAAGGGGTAGGGGTGTCATTTTTGTGGTTGAATGGGAACAATACATCATTTCTATCTGTGCGATTAAGTAATGTTCTGTGCGAATAAGCCGTAAGTAAACAACCCAAATGAGCTGTGCGAATAAGCTAGATAGACCAATAAGCCTAATTAAGCCGCAAGTAAACATCCCCTAAGTTTGATATGGAAATATTGAATTTTTTTCAAGAATTGTTGTTTGTAAAATTCATGGAACAAGAAGTTGGATGTAGAAGAAGAAGTTGGTCAATTTTAGTCAACAAGTAAATTATGATGGCTATTCATAGTGTATAAAGGAAATCATGAAATAGTTAGGGGCCGTTTGGTTCGCGGAATTCGAAGGAATTTGATGGAATTGGAATGATAAATTTATTTGACCAAATTCCATTCCTTTGTTTGGTTAATATCTTCAAATGGATGGAATCCTTCAAATTCCAATGAATTCCACAAGTTAAGGAATTCATCATTCCTTAGCATAATGGAAGGAATTGAATTCCATCAACACCCACAGCGACCATGCTACTACTGTTTGTGATGCCCCACCCCTAACCCCCCATTACCACCACCACAC